GCTGCCCGTAAAGCCGGCAGAATTTTTTTGTTGTTGCTCTTTTGATTGCCTCTGTGTACTAGGCTGGTCTCTAAGTCGGGTACCACCACTTGCTTACAATTTCGACCTTCTTCTTCATCTATGGGGTGTACAATGTCCTGAATGTAGATAGCCCGATTGCATCTTGACTTAAGCGTTTCCCCAGAAGACTTGGCTTTCCTTTTTCCTGCATTATTCGAAGCATGTATTTACTGTAGCCGACTCCTGACTGGAGGCCAGGAGCAGGTTCTTCACTGCACTTAAGTTAAGTTCCGCGACATCCTTGGTTTATATTTTTCTTTACTATTGTCCATATTAATTTTTGTTCCTACGAGTATGCACGGAAAGAGCGGTCCATTCCAGCAGACCCGTTTTACCGTGGTAAGGCATTTATTACAACCGACCTCTCTCGGGCATCGGAGGGGATCGTTTGCGGCTAGTCCTTTAGACATTGCTTACTATTCATCCATCGGAACGGGTATTTCAACACCACTGGCCTAAAGGACTAGAGATGCAATCGGGATGATGCAGAAAAGAATATGTCTTGTGCGAGGGTGTGAGCTGGGAAAAATAAGAACGATTGGTTACTGTCCGATTCCCTTAGTTTATGCTACTGTGCCCGGAAAATCCAATATGACTGGCATTTAAGCCTCACCCCTAGCGGAAGGGAACCGATACGATGAAGAGACCTAATTTTTCTAGAATTTTGGCGATAGCACCGAATGATTCATCTTAGTCTTCATAGGAATTCAGTATGCAACGAAGAAAAAAGGTGGAGGCTTCTGCGGTTCGCTAATCTAATCCTCTCTTTATCGATTTGACAGCGTCCACTATTTTGCTGACGTCACAATGGTGTTTTTCGCAATAGTGATGAAAATTAAATTTTCATATTGATCTATTTGACGAAAAGTTTTACCTAAAAGTTGATAAACGTACCTAAAAAATAATATATGTATGTATTTTTATGTGCATACCTTTCGATAGTTGGGGAAACAATCTGTTATATTAACAAGTAATTTTTAAGCAAAAAAAAACCGACTTCAATTGTCATATACAAATTTAAGATTATCGTTAATTTCTTCACGTTCGAATTATCGGATCTAAACAAAATTAGTATGGGACCACCCTTGGGGTACCACATTTCCGATGAATTATCGGAATCGGTTAATGTGATCCAAAATTATGCGGTAACATACATAAAACAAAAATATTCCGACGAACTGATAACCTCCTCCTTTGATTGAAGTCGGCTAAAAAGCCTTGGAAAGGAATTTCTCCGAGAAGTTGAAGTCAAACCTATGTTTTAACCAATGTTTATGCCCCTTTACAAAGGAGCGAGGCTATTGGGAATTTCCATACTAGAAAACGCTTTGAAATGCCTTGGAAAATAACATAAAATTTGCCGATAAGTTATTTGGCTACGTTCCAAATGTATCTAAAATTATGTGCTTGTACTGAATATATGTTCAAATTTAAGAGACTGAAGAGTAGGTGAAATTCTACCAAGATTTACATCACTATTTCGTATCACATGTTCGCTCCGTCCTCTTCTTTTTCAAAACTACTCCCTACTCTCTGATTCTCTCACTAATGTGGGCTCACACCCGGTTGCTTTCAGCTCGATTGGCGCAATCTTGCATTCTATCATTCTTACCAGAACGTAACCCGGATACGGATAAACTTCTCCAAATCCGAACTGTCCGAATGATAACTGGACGGTTTACAACCGTGATTTTAGTTAGATTTGCCTAATGGCCTCAACTTTTATTCTCATAGCATATGTGTTTACGAAAGGAAAACTACTATCTGTCTTGTTAATCATAATCGCGGAGAAGGCGTAACGGTAGAGGTTCAATCATAAAAGTTTTGTTCCTATTCATATACATAAATACCAGTGTATAAACTAGTTATGATGTTATATTACGAAAGCTCTCATCTCTCATCATGTCCGTACATTTTTGTGGCGAGGAAACATAGACGATTTTGAACCAAGATTATAAGTCTTTGGTTACGAAGAAAGAAACGAATACAATGAAAAGACTAAGTGCAGAAGGACCTGCCAGCACTCGGGATGAAAAAATGGCTCGAAGGAGAGAGGAAATTTTCGAAGTTTTTTGGTATCGGCCGAAGAACCGGTTGTAGAGCCAAACAAGAAGAAGAAGAAGAACTAGGAAAGCATGGTTTAGGTTGCCAAAATAGATATTCTTATGGCAGGGTTCAAAATGAATTGTAACATTTTGAATTTATTTTTACTCCATACGTCTTGTTTCGGCCTAATAAACATGAAAACCATGTGTTCGGTATTTTCAAATGTTAAATCGTTTAAATACGCACATATTTAGATCACTACTATGTTGCCTATTTAAAGCAAAAATACATACTTAGGTACATATGTATGTATGTATCTATTTAAATGTACATATGGGCTGGGAGGTGTGAATATACATACATAAGTTAGTCAGCAGTAAATAATTCAGCTCACGGCAACCTAACTGTGTTTTCGCCACGCAATACATAAATATGTCCATATTCCATACGAACAATAAAACTTAGCAAGAAATTCCTGAGACGAAAAAACGAAGCTTTGCGAGCCTTGAAAATTAGCGTACACATCTACAAGCGAGGCGTAAGCGTGAGTGGTGAATTGCTATAGTGAGAA